CCCCAAAACCCCAAAACCCCAAAACCCCAAAACCCCAAAACCCCAAAACCCCAGAAATAATATAGTTTATTGAATGTGATAATTAAATATTTAGACAATAGATAAATGGGAGCTGGTTGCTGTCATAAGAATAGTATTCATATAAAATACAAAGAGACCACTAGAAAAGAGTAAGCACCCCATTAAACCCCTCCTTCACAACCTCCCACCCTTTTCCCCGCTAAACTCCCTCCCCCTCCCCCCACTCCCACTACAACACTCCATCCATCCTTCTCACCCTCCTCCCCCACTATTTACTCTATCCAACTTACCCATTAACTTTCCCGAGGCCACACTGAGACTGGTCGTAGCCTCGGAGGGTTTAAGTGAATAAGTAGGGGAAGGTGTTGGCAGGGATGGGTTTAGTTCAGTGGGTGATGGAAGGTTAAGGATTTAGAGTTCAATGGAGGGATGGGGGTATTTGTAGGGTGGTTATTTGTGTACTTGTTTAGAGGATAGTTTAGGGCAGCTGGGATAGAGGGAGGTTGATTGGATTGGGGGTCTTAGTGGTTTGGGAGAATTTGTACTTGAATTTTTCAATTTTGTTCTTGGATTTAGTTAGTGTAAAAGAGTTTTAGGGAAACTTGGGGCGAATTTTTAAGGAATTTTGGGTGTTTGGAAGGATGGGATGGGGGTTTTAGTGAGAAATAGGCACAGAGATGAGTTATTTTTAAATTTAGGATTATACTATCTCCACAAAAGCCGTACCCAAAACCATGTGAGAGTGTGGAGTATCAAGAGTTAGTGAAAATATGTAATATTTTGTACAATAAATGGTATAGTTGCATATAACTGAATCAAGAATAGAGGACACCTTGATATCAATCAAAAATCGTTCTTATTAGTTTGGAATCCTTCCTATGCCATTCTCTGAATGCTTGATACTATATTTGATTATCTTGATATTGATGACCTTCAGAAAATGACTCGAGTAAGTAAGCTCTTTTGATTCACTGCAACTTTGGAGCGGAACTATGAAAAATTTGAGCAAGCTGTTGAAGCCCCGATAAAGATTACAAAAGAAGATGAAGAAATCGATAAAATGGTGACAGAGTGATTAAATGGGCTTGCGAGGCAGAGAGCACATAGTCTCCCCAATTCATCGATGCAAGATTCGTACGCCAATCCTGAACTAAAGTATTGTAATAGGCTAATAATATAGACCTAAAAATAAGGTGAAAAAGGTCTCAATTTTTAAGGGAACTTCTCAAAAGAATAAGTTTTTACTAGATACTATCCTTGAAGGCTCTGAATATGCATGTAAGTTCTGTTTATCACAAGATTTGTGCAGTTTTCACTAACAGGTGCTCATTTTAGGGTAGCTTATAAACCGAAATTTCTTTGCTAAATTACTCTAAAAAATTTATCAAAGATATTCCAGAGGATTATAGCCAAAACACTTTTGGCGAATTTTTATTAAATTTTGAAATTTATGGATGGTCCTTGCACTAGGGTTCTTAGCTTCCTGAAAGACTTTAATAGATTTAAGAAAAGAGACCTTACATAATTCTTATAGCCTCACAAGGAGATGAATGGAATGTGGAAGATACAAGAACATTAGAGAATGCTTTGTAAGTTTACTGAGTCCTAACCTTGTTGTAGAAACCAGACTAATATTCCCAATACTAGAAGTAATCTTTCCCTAGACTAAGTCTTATGTTTATTTAGATAACAAGCCTAGCCAAAAGTTGTCATCTAATACAATTGGGTCCCACTGCATAGGCATGGGATCTTTTAATGACACTTATGGATCAAGACTCTCAATTGTTTCGAGAGAAATCAATTGTAAATCTCCGATTCCTCAATGAGGAAGGAAGTCACCCTTAATCGCAAAGTACTAGTGAATATATTTAATATTTAGTGGTGGAGAGATAGTCCATACTCTAAACAGTTTATCTAAAAAGTAAGCTAAATCCTAACTTTTCTAATCTTTCCTTTAGAAGACAGACAATTACAAGTTACCTTGAAAAGGACAGGAAACAGTTGGTAAATGCTCTGACCAACTCTGCTCTTTCAATTAGTGCCAGCCCTGATTGTGATAATGGAAATAAGACTAGGCTGAAAAGGACCAAGACAGTTACATCAAATTATCAGGATGCATACAACACTACTCAAAACGTAATTTACTCTCTTCAACTTTAGAACTTGGTTAAGATAGGATACCAGGAAATAGCTAAGGGTAAGTCAGTTCATTCATCTCTGAAATTAAGAAATTTTCTTAAAAGTTAATTAGAAATAAGTCGAAAAATTAGTAAAAGTAGACCTAGACCTAGACTAGAGTAATAATCCTATATGTAACACTTTTATTGCTTCTTTCTCAACGACAGGATCTAACAGAACTCTATTATTAATATTTAACTCTCTTTGGGAAAATTTTTGTCCTAAAGTTATCAATAGGTTTTGGCAATGGAAAAAGTCAGTTTAACCCTGTATTCATTGAGAAGATACACTCTGATAGAAGACTCACTGTGAACCCTGGCAAGAAGAGTAACTTCCTGTGCTAACCTCTAGTGGACAAAAGCCTAATCAAAATAGTACCAAGAATAGCAAATGCCTTCCAGGAAGGAGAGTTCTTTAGTATTAAGGAATCAGAACACGAGTCAGTTGATTATAACATGTCGGTGGACAATGAAGCCAAATGGATCTAACCCAATAATTTCGCTAGATAATTTTTCTCTCAGTCCCAAGTATAGCTTTAAGAATGTTCAGTAGACTACTTAGAGTATTAGTTTAACTTAAACCTTGATAAGTACAAAATGGTGAACGAGTCATAGCCTCATTGGCTAGACACGCTAATTTGTAATTTTATCAGCATCTAAGCCTTGGATTTTGGGAATTTTTGCATAAAAAAGTGCTAGAATTGATTTCACTCAGCTCCCATTAGGTATATAAGCATTTAACCTATAATTCTCAACACGTTGATACTATTTTGGGGTTTTGGGGTTTTGGGGTTTTGGGGTTTTGGGG